TCGTATCGCATTACGATTCAGTCAGCAATTCCTCTCGCTGCATTTTTCTAGCAAACACGTCAACATATGGAATTGCTATGCGGTGACACCTACGCCATCGCCATCACCATCGATTTTCAGCTGAACGCTTGCCTGCTCTTGCCCAGTAGTCCTCTCAGTAAATATTTAGGAAAAAAATTAAACCGCTGAAAACGACATGCTCCACTTGGTCGGTCCATTGATCGAAAATTTTCTAGTTCGTGAACAGTCCGCTGAGGGGTCAATAAGGCTAGAAACAAAACAAACAAATAGAAACAACTGCTGAATGGAACGCAAGGGTCAGCCACGACATTCGGCTAATTTCTTGACTTTTTTTCGACCCCTCCCCCACCTCCGATGATTGATGGTGTCGAAAGGGTTGTTGAGCCTGGTTTGAAATCTGACACTCTTCCAATCGCACCCCCAAAATAGCATAGGTCCTTTGGTAGAGCGGAAAGTTCTGGTTGTGAAGAGAAACGGCCAAAAATTGCAAACACTGACAGAATATTTTTAAAATTTGCTGAAAATTTCCAGGTTCTCAAAAACCCCTCCTAATTGCTCCATTTAAAATACACAGACGACTTCCATGTGCTTGGCCGCTGGCCTTCCGCCGGTCCCAACTTCTCTTCCACCGTTCTCGTCTTGAGCTATGGTTGACCAGTGAGCAGATACCTTATGGGACATGGGATCCAATTATTATTAAAATTAAATCAGAAACCCGCCCCCCTAAAAACAAACTGCAACCTCCCCTCCCAATCGATAGGGTCTTGACACGGCCTTACCCTCCGGCGTAGCGTGCTACATAATATTAGAGTTGCCTGAGAGAACAAAGCTGAACAGCTGTTGGCCTTCATTGTCATTTTATCTGTCTAACACACTTACGATTGCATCTACAAAACTCAACGGAAGTCAAATGCATGGCGCACTCCGAGGTTGCAATTAGCGCTATCTGCCCCTGTTTTCCTATCATAATTATAGAGAAACGTCATCTGAGTAGAGGAATGACAAGGTTTCGGGTGGGCTGATTTAAACCCGCGGCATCGTCCCCACCTTCATAAATCAATTGTCCTTCGTGTTTGAACACTGAAGGACAATCGATCGCACCATCGAAAAACACACTGGAAATCGCGCTGTTCAAAGTTCCGCCGTGCCATTCGGACTTCGCCAGTTTTAGCC